AATGGGAACGATAATGGCGATTGCTACACTCTTTATACGTGGAGAGAGATGTATTGGGAAATGTGATGGCGGTGCACATTTTATCCACTCCATATAATATTAGTACGCCAATCGATGCATGATGTTGAAAATTTGGTTATTGTAATTTAAAAAAAAAAATAAAATAAAATGCTCTTGCATATAAAAATAAAAAAAAAAATAAATATTTTTAGACTCATTATCACTATCGCTATCACAAATAACAATTTCTAGACCATTGATTTTCGTTACTCTAGAAACAACAATATATAATTGTCCATGATTAAATACATGTTTCTTAAACAAAAACCCCACGCTCGGGAAAGATTGTCCTTGACTCCTATTGATAGACGTTGCGTAAGACAACATAATTGGAAACTATCGTGGTTGAAACTTGAATGAAAGTCTTGGATCCGAAGGCGTCAATGACATTCTTAGAATAAGAACCTTCGAACAACTTTACTCCAAAAATTGCACCCTCTATAACATGATTTCCATGTTTTGTGACAATTAATTGAGTTTCATTGCACGAACCAAGAGAAGGGTCAACATTGTGAAGCAGCATTACAGGCGTCCCGACTTATAAATTTAACTCGTGATTTGGGATGCCAGAGCACTTAATTGAATTTAGGAACTCTGGAGTCTGGATATCATTAACCACACTTACATTATTTCAAAATGACAGGGAAAATCGAAACTCAAATTTCTTTTTGCCTCCGAAGCAGTTAACGAAACCATGTAATCATTAACAGAGTTCACCACATCCAGAGTTGGAGCTAATATAGCTATTTCCAGGAAATAAGAATGATCATCCGGGTTAGTTCAAAATGTGGGAAAAATAGGGTCTACAGCTGTTGCGATCGGATCACCAAAAAAACTCATCTGGTATATCAATATTCACATAATCATCTTCATCCTCCCCAAGATTTTCATCTCCAATCTTCGCAATTCAATCTGCACACTTTTCCAAATCATTGGAATTTTCACCAGGCTTCAGATTTTGTAATCGCATGTTCTTCGTCAATTTCAGAACAATGCAATGTCTCCACAACTCAGACGAATTGATAGTTGCACGTACAATATCTTGTCGTCTTCCTTTTGAAACAACTGGCAAGATTTGATGAAAATCTCCAGCAAACACAACAGTCTTTCTCCCCAAAGTCAGCTTTTTCTACGGGGTCAACATTCTTCATTATATCTTTCAAACTTCGATCCAAAGACTCAAAACAATATATGTGCATCATTGGAGCCTCATCCCAAATAATCAACTTCGCTTTAATTATAAGCTCAACAATAGGCGTTCCAGAGTTAATATTGCAAGTCGATTTTTCATGTAGATTAAATGGAATAGAGAATCTAGAATGTGTTGTTCTTCCACCGAGCAACAAAAAAGAAGCTATACCACTGGACGCAACGCTCAACATAATATCTTCGTTTGACCTCAGAGCAGCGGATAATGTTTTCCATAAACGTCTTGTATGTACCTCCATAACCGTAAACAAAGAAAACATTCCCATAGAGAGGGTTAACAACAGACAAACTCGTATCATAAACCATATGTTGTTTGCAGTTCATCATTGATAGATATCGTTTATGATCTTCTTTCAAACTCCCAGTGTCATGACACATCTCAACGTATATGAGTCCAGACTGTATGCATAAAAAGTGAATATAGCTTGAACTTCTATTATTTGGAATGGTAGCTCCAAATAATATAAAAATGGAATATTTAAAAAATGACTATTTGACCAAATTATAATTTTGGTAGTATGATATTTTATTATATTCTTGTATTGTTAATTAATGAATCAACGAGATCTTCTTTTAAATTTTACGTCTAGTTTGGGAGTTGAAAGTTTGTTTATAAGTCTAATTATGAATTTTCAATTCATCTTAAGATGTTAAATATAGTCCCATGAAGATTTTTTTTTAGAAAAAAAGTAAATAACAATAATAATAAAACCCTTCAATGTTTATTAATTATTAAAAGGAACGTGGTATATTTTCATTGTCTTCTGATCTTACATATTTTAATAAGGAACATGGTTTAATTCAATTGTCCCCCAATCTGACATATATCTTACTTCTGTTCTCCTTCTTGTTCTTCCTTCATAATTCCCTTTATTTTCTTATCCTTTCAGATAATTCATCAAGAAGTCTTTTCTTGACACTTGAAAGCTTCGTCTTGTCGATAGAAGTTGAAGCATTATTCACTTTTTCCACTGGAGTACTCACTTCGTCATCAGAATCATCATGCAAATATATATCAATTTTAAAGTTCTCTTCCATATATTAAAAAAAAAGGTTAAGTAGGAAAAAAAAAATCATTAACAACCTCATTGGGCTGAAAATCAACACTCTTCAGTTTGGAGAAAAGGTCTGAATTTCCACTTTCTTGTGGTCCACCATATTACTTGTCAAAAAGCTCTGGATCAGCTGTTGTCGTTAGAACGGTATAGGTCATCTCTTTATTTTTAGGTCTCCCAATTTTTGGATAACCTTTACCTTGAAAATAACCTTCGAATGAACCAACTTCAGAATCTACTTAGGAACATCGTTAGCTTCTGCTTCATAATCAACTTTTGACTTCAAATTATTCAATGGTTTTCCAATCAAGTCGGTGCTCTCCCTATCCCAAAGCAGAAACATAACAACTCCAATTTGGTCAGCCACAGTAACAAGGATTTTGAACCTAAAAATTTAAATAAAAGAAACAATTAGATGATATATTAAAAAAAAAATCAAAAAGTAGTATAAATCAACCTTTTTGTAACATGTGCTTTCCCGTGATCTTTCTTATCGCATCTAGAACAATAAAGCAACCAATTTGTAGGAGTCATTTTGAATGAACAATTATTACATGCGATGTAACTCCATCTTCCACCACAGTCAAACTGAATGATTCTTGCACAGGCCCAGTAGTTCCTGGCCTAACATTAATTAACTATTAGTCTATTTTATGTTTAAATAATAGGTGAAAAATTTGAAAGAGATGAAATATAAGTACTTCTTCAGTTGCATGAAGTTGGTATATAGTCTTAAAAATTGACTTTGAATTTTCAAGCTCCTCCGCTAATGTAGCATAATGTTCAAATCTTCGTTCACCAATTTGGTGATCGGTACCTCAACTCTCCCTTAAATGTTGAACCTAAAACAGAGAAGTATTCATTGGTTTTGACGAATAATTAAAGAATGAGAAATAAATCATCATTACCTATTGCGAAACTCATTTATTTCCAAAGTATCACCATTTATGATAAGCTTGGGAAGATTGAACGTGGTGGACACTCGAATTTGACTTTGAAACTTATTGGGGCGGCACATTTGAACAATAATGACAACATTATCCCACTCATTTGTGTTGGCTAAGTGATTCATCAAGTAGTCAACATACTCACCTCACAACGTGCAAGATATTGTGTTCCCCTATAAGAAAAATATAAATAAAAATTTTAAATTGAATGCAAACTTAATAAGTTAAAATAGAATTGATTTCATTTACTCATGATCCTCCAAAAGTATTTCCATCAGGATTGTTTGTTGTCCGGCATACTCAACCTCGTGGGGTGGGTATCTCATAGCAAGGCGTCCAATAACATCTGGTTTTAAGTTTTCGTTACTATATGTAATAACAAGAAAATTATAGGACTTTGTGTATAATATTTTACCAATAAGTACGGTTTCATCAACTGAATTAGCTTCAGCAAGTCATTGAAAATGAATAAAGTCATAGATCATTGTAGGGAAGTTATCATCCTTGAACTCATACATATTGGATCTCGGGACAAATAAAATTCGGTAGGGAGCAGTAGTTGTTTTGTAGGTCATTTTATTTTCAGCAACAGTAACTGTCCTAATTTTATAAAGCATATTTTCTTTCAAAATAGGGAGGAAAGTGGAAACTTGTTCGTACTTCACCGTGGCGCGAATACGATCCCCTTACATTTGAAAAATGAAAGTTGTCAAAATAAAGTTGATATATAAAGTAAAACAAATGCAAATTGACTTAGAGTTCTATCATGGAAAACACACTTCAAAGTTGAAATCTTTGACTTGTCATTGTACATAGGGCCTGAGTACAACCGAACTAAGCGAACACGCAATCCTCATGCACGTTTCCAAGTTTGAGGTCGCTTATCATGTTGAAAAGTACCATTTTTTAGAGACTTGTTTTCAATTTTGGTATTGTTATTTTAGTAAAACTCAAGTCTTTGTAGTTTATTTTTCCATTTTCATCAGTATATACATAGTAACATATTGATTCTTTGTCTTCCAAAAAATTGAAGATACAATTAACGATTTGTTAAGATATGTTGATAATTTCAAAAAGTGAATGTTGCCTGTTAGCCTGTTGTTTGTCCCATTTTTGTTGCGTTTTTCGTTGTTGTTTTGTCATTCTTTTCCCCCCATTTTAGGTTTTTTTGTTGGTTTGTAGTTCGTTTTGTTGATTATGGTGTGTTTTCATTTATTTTGGTTTCCTTTGTGTTTTTCGTGTGTTTTTCC